TGGTGACAAACAAGCCCACCAACCACGGCCGACACACACCATTGATGTGTGTGGTTCCGGCATTCATACTCTCTCTATTCGTGCCTGAATCGCCCCAAAGGCAACAACCCTGGAAGCAGCGCTGTTGCGAAAACAAGCCCACCAACCACGGCCTCCACACACTATTTATCTGTGTGGTTCCGGCATTCAGACTCTCTCTATTCGTGCCTGAATCGCCCCAAAGGCAACAACCCTGGAAGCAGCGCTGTTGCGAAAACAAGCCCACCAACCACGGCCTCCACACACTATTTATCTGTGTGGTTCCGGCATTCAGACTCTCTCTATTCGTGCCTGAATCGCCCCAAAGGCAACAACCCTGGAAGCAGCGCTGTTGCGAAAACAAGCCCACCAACCACGGCCTCCACACACTATTTATCTGTGTGGTTCCGGCATTCAGACTCTCTCTATTCGTGCCTGAATCGCCCCAAAGGCAACAACCCTGGAAGCAGCGCTGTTGCGAAAACAAGCCCACCAACCACGGCCTCCACACACTATTTATCTGTGTGGTTCCGGCATTCAGACTCTCTCTATTCGTGCCTGAATCGCCCCAAAGGCAACAACCCTGGAAGCAGCGCTGTTGCGAAAACAAGCCCACCAACCACGGCCTCCACACACTATTTATCTGTGTGGTTCCGGCATTCAGACTCTCAGTATTCATGCGTGAATCGTCAACAGGCAACAACCCTGGTAAGTAGCGCTGTTTCTACAACAAGCCCACCACCACGGTCGCCACACACTTGTGATGTGTGGTTCCGGCATTCGCATTCTCTGTATTCATGCGTGAATCGCCACAAAGGCAACAACCCTGGTCAGCAGCGCTGTTGACAAACAAGCTCACCACCACGGTCGACACACACTATTAATGTGGTGGTTCTGGCATTCAGACTCTCAGTATTCATGCGTGAATCGCCACAAAGGCAACAACCCTGGTAGGTAGCGCTATTGCGAAAAGAAGCCCACCAACCACGGCCGCCACACACTATTAATATGATGGTTCTGGCATTCAGACTCTCAGTATTCATGCGTGAATCGCCACACAGGCAACAACCCTGGTAAGTAGCGCTGTCGCGACAGCAAGCCCACCACCACGGCCGCCACACACTATTTGCGTGTGTGTTTACGGCATTCAGACTCTCTATTCATGCGTGAATCGCCGCACAGGCAACAACCATGGTAAGTAGCGCTTCTGCGAAAACAAGCCCACCACCACGGCCGCCACACACTACTTGTGTGGTTTTTCGGCAT